AAGTTCAAAAGTGAACTGAATAGCAGGATCAATGAATCATTGTTGAAAGAAATTTATTTAAATCAGCTTTATTACCTTCAAACAGAGTAAAAGTATCGTCTCGTCTACGTAGAGGAACCATGCCGGGAAGTTTAAAGTTTCAAACAATTTTGATTCATAATAATGCATGTAGATATCAGCCAGGATGGGACTGAGGGGGCTTCCCATGGCTAATCCCTCAGTTTGCTTGTAATATTTATTTTGGAAAACAAAATAAATATTACAAGCAAACTGAAATTTTTAAAAATTCTCATCTCAACACACTAAAAGGCATACTCTTGTTTTAGGAGATTATAAAAATTCTGTTGTCATTCCCTTCTTTCCATCAATTAGCTATAAAGTTGCACATATTTTGCAGAAATTTAAGTTTCGGGTTGTTTATTCTCCCATCAATAAAATTCCGAGTTCCATACTCAAAGACCCCATTCAGGATATGAATTCCTGGGGTATTTATAGGATTCCTTGCCAGTGTGGTTTAATTTACATTGGCCAAAGTAAGAGAGCCTTTAAATTTCGCGTCAAGGAACATGAGGCATATGTTAGAAAAAGGGAAACACTGAAGTCTTCTGTTTGCTCAACATTGTTGGTCCGAAAACCACACTTTCAGTTTTTTTCTGCTGCCAAAATTTTTCAAGAAACATCTTCATTGAGAACTGGATTTTCTAGAGGCATTTCACATTCATAAAAATCTTTCTGTTCTAGTAAACGATCCTAATTCCAATCCAAATTTGCCTTCGGCCTTTAAAGAAATTATGTTTTAGTTCTGGTTTCACCAACAGATGACGCCACTTGCTTATTCTTGTCCAGGCTTTCTTATCTTATCTAATCATTATTTCCTAATTGGTTCATTTGCGGTTTTGCAGCTGAAGATGGTGGTTCGGTAAAACCATCGAAACTAGTCCTGTGAAAATTTTGTAAATATAACACTGATTTTTGTTGTTTGACTTCTGAATTAGTAAACTAAAAGGGTTGTGGATGATGATTCTCTGCACCCAGGATTTGGCGACTAGATCCCCTAAAACCCTAGTCGCCCTTTAAAAAAGGGAGTATATAAGGTATTTCTCCCATTTTCCTAGCGTCCTTCGTGATGTAGTGGTTCTGCACGCTGGGCCGGTATTTCAGTGGTCCGTGGTTCGATTCCCGGGGAAGGCGGTTGCTATTGTTTCTTCTTTCCAGTTTCCAAAAAAATGCTAATGACTCTACAACCTATAATTACATGTATATTGTAGGACTACCTTGGATGGCGATACACGACGTAATACGTCTAGATACAGTGATACTACGGATGGTGTCCTGAGGAATGGCTCTTTATTTCATGTCAACCATTTGCGATAGTTCATCTTTTAACCGCGGCAATGGCAAGGTCTGCAAATGGCGTCCAATCACACCCCAAATGTGTTCGATTGGTGAGATATCAGGAAAGAACGGTGGCCAGGGAAGCATTTGCACACCTTTGAAGAGCACGTTGACTAATGTCAGCATTGTGTGGTCGGGCGCTATCCTGCTCGTAGGGCATTGGGTAGGGGAATTGACATGAAGGTAGGGGAATATCATCGCCCCAGCACATGATCTACGTATCGTTGGGACGTCATAGTGCCATGAATACGAATTAATGGAGACCTGAATCTTATGCAATTGCGCCCCAAACCACGATGCCACTTTGCCGCGAGGTGCGGTATTCCACAGTTGCTACCGTTTTGAACCTGTCTCTACAAGTTCTACGCGGCTACTATCATTTGAAAAACAGAAGCTTGACTCATCTGAGAACACGACCCTTTTCCATTCCGTCGTCCACTTCGCTCGAGCCTGGCACCATTGCAGACGCTGGCATCTATGATATAGGGCCAAGGACAGTCTTCTTAACGGGCATCAATGTGCAGGCCACTAGCCACCAATCGACGGCAAATGGTTCTGGTCGATATGAGAATATCCATGTTGTCTTGAACTAGCCGCAAAATGGAGGGAGAAGTGGCTTGCGGTCGTTTGTCGGCAAATGCGCCGATCCTCGCGTGCTGACGTCTCTCTGGCTGCAGCGGCACTCCTCGAACTTGTCACATTTCCTTGTTCCAACCATCGTTGCCACAGACGATGCACTGCGTCCAGTTGTGTGTCAGCTGAGATTTGCCGGAAGGACCAATCTGCCCTTTTCAATCCGAACACCCTGCCCCTACGCCCCTTGTAAAATCGTATGTCTGTTGGAACTGCCTCCGTTGACGACGGACTGGCATTCTCTGTTATTACACATGTCCTCTGAGACAAGAAAAAATTTTCTACGATGATTTCCCTAGCAGAAATAATGGCACGAATATTGAACATTCTGCATGTTCCTTTCCTTATATCTTCTTCAACGTGAGCTGGAGAGCTACGCATTTCATGTCATTAGCATAACTCGGTGACGTGCGTCTACCCTGAAATTTGCATAATTTTCGGGCTACGCCTTCTTGATGTTGCATTTCCAATGTTGGGTAGTGTATTGATTTAAGCGAATCATGTACTTATCATAAGGACATGTTTATTTATTCCATTTCCACAAAAATTTCCTTTAATTCGATGTCTGCGTACAAAAGGAGTACTTAGATAGGTAAATTTATTTATTCGTCATTGATTCATTTTTTGTATAAACAAGTACCAAAGAATATAAAGCTGATCGTAACTCTAATTATATTACAGAATTTCGCACAACTGACAACCATAGAAAAGACACTGACATCATCGAAATCTGAGTTAGCGAAGAACTCGTTAGGCATCAAGTCTGAGCCCGAACCACATTTAGAAATGCTGTAAAGTATCAACGGTGATCCTTTCCATAATACTGTACAGTATAAATGCTGTAATATTGTAAAATGTAAAAAATGGTGAAATAAATGTAGTGTGTCGAAAATGCATGCGTTAGACTATAGCATTTCTGTGTTAGATAGTTTATTTCTTCAGTTAAACATGCATGAGCGTGGATGATAGCCTGACATATAAAATTACTGCGTAAATTTCTACATCATATGCCCATTAGAAAGAGAGTTGTTTTATTTAGGCTTCCTTTTAATCCACTGGGAAAGATATATGATAACAAAATATCTCATACAGTTCACGATCCCTCACAAACACACTGAGCAAGATATTACAAATCCCGCACATTATTAACAGCGCTGTTACTTCGCTGCAGTCCATCATTTTCGCCGAATGAAACAAGGCAGTCGAGTAATGATGGAACGTGATTGATAGTCCAGCAATCGTTGCCAGCATGTCTATCAATTTATTGTATATTAACCCCAGCAAATCGAGAGAAACAAGTTTAGTTACTGCTCGGCCCACGATCGATCAAATCCTCAGACCGTTTACGCGGACTCTTGGTTGCTGCTAAAACTGCAGTTTATTTGAGAATATAGCTTCAGTAAGCATCCGTTCTCATGTAATATTTATTCCAGGAAGTTTATGGCACCATACGAGAGCTTGCCTGTACGTGTACATTGTAGCTCTATCTGTTTTATGGACTCTTAATTGGTGATAGAGAAGTGCCTTGTTGGGACATGAATAGTTATTTTACGAATGAGAAAAGGTACGTTTCGTGCAAAGACAATACATGCAGGATAAAGCTTTCTTAATTTAATATATTAAATCTTTTAATTCTACGAGATCATTCCCTTTTACGTCAGATTCAATTTCTTTTCTACTCTGCTTTCATTTGTTAATTGCTTCCAGATGATTTTGATCTTGGAATTCGAAGAACTTTCTTGCTATGTTGATTACTTCAGCAGGATGTACTACTCTCGAATTATTTATAGGTTTGTTATTAATGTGGCACACAAATTAGAGTATACTGAAGAGTGAAAGAAATGTTCTTCTTTTAATATTTTTATGTTCATTTTTAAATATTAATTTTAGGGCGGAACAGATTATATTATGATAATTAAATAAATTAAAAATTTTGTTACACTTTTATATCATATTGCCACTTTCTTATAATTTTTATATTCAAATGTTTCAAGAATATAAGATCATTCAGATAGAAATCAGAGACGTATTTCGGTTGAAAACTGTTCGGCTGTTCCTCGAAAAAGTCCAAGGAATTTTCAACAATTTTATACTTTTTATATCAATTTTATTACATTTTATTAATTTTATTAATTTATTTTTTAAATTTTGATATTAGTATTTCCTTTTAGAAAATTACACCCTTTAATGATCTAATTTTTATTTAATTATTTTCACTTTATTATAAATATGATCCAAAAGAAAAATAATCAAATCAAAATTAGATCATGAAAGGGGGCACTTATTAAAATTAAAAATTATATATATATATATATATATATATGTATGCAATTATTAAAATTATATATATATATATCAGTATATATATATAATATTGTATGCAATATATTAAATATATATATCTATATCTATTTATATATATATATGTATGCAATATAAAAATTATATATATATAATATATATATATATATATATGTAGTTTTGATACCTGTTCTCTTTCAGGATCTAATTTTATATATATGTGGTAGTAAAAATCTTCTCATATATATGAATCTCTAACAGCCTGTCCACTCAGCAGATCAAAATGAAATGTCAGAAGTAGCCTTTTTTATTTCTATAATGAGACGAGCATACGCAGGTCTCAATGAAAATCTCTGCATATTATTTTGTCTATCATGATCAATCGAAACCATCTTAATTGAGATGAAATAGTAAACTATAGACTGAATTTCAATATTCTTTACAAACTACTTCTTATAAAAAATTGTATTTTCATAGCTTGAGTTTGTATTTTATGATTAGTTCTAAGCAGAACGGATTATCGTAATTTTAAGAATTATAGCTAACTAAAAATGCTTAGTTAGTGACGCAGTGATGCAACGTCTGAGCGACTACTATTTTCGAGCTGTTGTAAGTAAAGAAGTTGCGAAGACGTGAGGAGTTACGAGTTGGGAAGAGAGGATCGTACCTACTTGTTGCGCAAGAGCACATCGGGCCTCCAAATCTGTGAAGCGGGTATGCGAACAGTGTTAACCCCCCCAAAATCTGACGCATTCCACCGGAGATGCACATCGTTCCATTTCTGAAAATAAAATAAAAATGAAAATGCTATTTAAAGGATGACAGAAATATATACACAGCTAGAAGTAATATTTTAAAGCCTAATTTCTTTACAAATTAAGCATATAAATAGCTGAAAAGGTGTAGAAATGACAATAAATTGACTTTAGTGCTGAAGAAATTACACTGAAAGCTTTTAACATATTTCACTCAGAAAGCAGTTCTGTTTTTATCGACTGAAAAAAGGATAAGGAAAATGATACCCAAAGGAAAAAATAGCATCATTCGATGACAAACATTAAGCACAGATAAAACTAGGAAAGTTTGGAAGCAATAATACATGGTGAATCGCAACACGTTTCGGCCACGATTATTTAGAAGCTATTAATATACTTAGAAAAACAGATTTTCGCTTTCTATAAATAGCGTGGTTTTGAGACGCAGAAAACGAGGTAATGTTTTTGAATAATTGTTTTATATAGATGAGCGTTGTGTATCCTATTTTCAGTCTTCTTTTGTAAATAATATAAACTTCTGTGAGAAATAATTGTAATTATGATGTATAATGTTGCAAAGATAACCTGAATTCATATTAAGATGAAAATCTAAGCTGTGTCCTTCGCATAAATTGCTACTCTTACTACTATGTTTCCAACTGATATTAGCTTAGTGTAATATACATTTAAGTGTATAAAGTGTTTTCTCCCTTCTTTTCGCATGCCTTCGTGCTAGATGTATACTCGATGCGTATTCGGGAGTTCTAGAGTCCTTGTTCGGGCGCGAATACGCTCATATAGTTATTAGTTTATTTTGAAACGTGAGTTTTCTAGACGTGAAGATTACGTCATTCAGATTACCTTGTTTGACGTGGACATGTCTCAGTGACGTTAAAGATGTATATTAAGTTGAGCTTTGCTTAGGACTTGAGCTAAAAACTTGAGCTTTGCTTAGGAATTGAGCTAACTGAACTAAATAGATTATGGTAGTGAATAGGGAACAGATTCTCAATCGCTGAGAAAATCCATCGTCAGCAAGATTATTTCCATTTGATAGGATGTGTGTATCTTGACGTGGCATCTTTCTCAACAAACAGGTAATGTTATTTTACAAAATCTCATGTTGCTCATCTGAACTCTGTATAACTTCTGCAGTTTTTATTTATACGATACGTTTTATTAGCTATAGCAAACTTTTGGCAAGTCCTTTTATAATCCCATTGTTAATATCCCCATTCAAAATAATTTCGAATTCCAAATTGTAGCTAATTTCAGCTTCCTGCAGGGATGTGAGCTGAGGTACAGATATTTATATACATTGCCCAAAGAAAACAAATAAAACATTATGAAAAAACGTTTTAAATGAGAAAAAAAACTTGGCACACAAAAGACCTCCTTGGGGAGAGGAAAAAAGGTTTTAGTTCAAATAAGTATACGTTTACCACGGTTTAGTAAATATTATCCTCGCCATTCTTTGTGATAGAATTGTTAATTCGACATGGAATTAATATAATAAATATTCAAATTCGTCCTAAAATAGGATTGTGGTATTAATGCTATGATATGAATGTAATTTATATGGTATCGACCCAAATCAGTGCCACGTGGTTCACATTTATATCATCAGACATTTATTGTCAAATCAACCGTCATTTATTGTCAATAACTCATAAACAAAATGATTACACACTGAAATCATATTCTTGAGAAGCTACAAATTGCTGCCCTACCATGGTTTCAAGAAGTCTAAATGCCGTTTTCTAAAATGAAGTATAATAAAGCCCAACCACGTGCGGCTAACATCATCTGCCATCTTTTGCAGTATTTATGTGATTTCCCATCACATACTTCCCAAATGTCTAGCTACTTGAAAATCTATCGGATACTGTTGGTCATTTAACTATAATTTCATCTGCAATAAATACATTGCCCTCCAAAAGTTAAGGAACAGCATGTTTTTTTCTGTTTAATTTTAGAGCGAAGCAACATAGAAACAAGAAATTTACAGGACATGTTAACTCTTTAACGAATGCGACATAGAATGTTTCTAAAGTTCAACACTAGCATGAATTACAACAGTAAATTACACTCTTGGCAGAGAAATCCAGTTTTGGAGAAACAGTATATCACAGTTTTTTGAGGAAAAATTGGGTAGTAACATTACAAAAAAATGGGTTTTAATAAGGAAAGTGTCCAGTCATAGCTGCAATACATTGGCGGCAGCGACGTTCCTTGCTGTCAATTAAGTTGTCGGTCACTGAAATGGTAAGCAAAGACAATACACAGAGTAATCCTTGTTCAAGCTTCTTGGAGGAAAACTTAAAGCAACAACCTGTCTCCCGAACTGGCCCCACAGATGCTCTATCGGATTCAGGTCTTGGGATTGAGCTGGCCATTCCATCCGCTCTATACCGTAATCTTCAAAATATTCTTCAGCAACCCGAACTCAGTGAGATCGCGCATTATGGTAAATCAGAAGAAATCCAGAACCAATAGCAGCGGCATATGGGCAGAAGTTCCTCCATGGAACACATGCAGATCAGTGTGACCACCGAGAGAGATCCCAGTCCAAAGCCTTATTCCACCACCTCTGTAACTGTGTCTTTCCACAATGTGGGACTGGTCGTATCTGGGTCCCTCCAGATCTGCTGACAACCTGAGTCACTCTCCAATATGAACCTGGGCTCGTCTGTGAAGAGAACAGACGCCCATTGTTGACTCGTCCAGGAGACGTATTCTCTTGCCCAACATAAACGGGCACTTCTGCGTCCTCGGGCCAAGGGAACACAAACAGCTTGTCGTCTTGCATACAGACCTGTATTGTGCAGGCGTTTGGTTCTTGTTGCCACTAAATTATCTGCCATGAGCTGAGGCACAGTAATGTTACTCCTCCTTCGGGCAGAAAGAGCTAAATAACCATCTCCCGCGGGTGTTGTAACTCTAAGGTCTGCCTAGAACATGTCTTCTAGACACGGAATCTTCGGATTCAGACTTATTCCACAGTCGGTGGACCACAATATGAGAGACATTTAAACGTCTAGCAGCATCAGGTTGTGACATCTCTATTTCCATTCAACCTATCGCCCGCCACCTCAACGAATCCGGCAAACGACTTCTCCTATACAATTGATAGACTCTCCTGGATTTTGTCAACGAAATTGCTAGTAACAATTGAAGATTAACACTCGTGAACAAAACTTACAAATTTTGCCTTTTTCCTCCAACTCCTATATAAGTATTTCTTTCTATAAAATAAAAGTGGTAGCTTTTGTTTTTAAAAATTTTTCTTAAACTTCGTTACCATCATGCATATAAACTGTGAATTTAAATGTTGCTGACGTTTTTATAATGGTAAGCTTTAAAAAATATGTTGTTCCTTGACTTTTGGAGGGCAGTGTATAACATGTGGAAACCTGACTGAGGCTGAAAGTTTTTAAATTCAAATTCATAAAGATTTTCCATGTTTCATCCTTGTTTATGTTAGGAGTTTCGAATTAATTAGTATTCTATTACTTTATCACATATATTTTCTTTTATAGGAATATGAAAATGAGATAATTTTTTGCAAGTGAATTTAAGATTTATTTTCAGATGATGTGAAAATGGTCAAAATTAAGACATTAAATAAGTTATGACACGAAATAATTAAGACACTCACCTGTGTGATTTTGCAGCTACTGGACAGAACTCCTCTACGTTCGTCCTGAAAGAGTATTTAATCGTAGGTGATATAGTATTAATATTTCAGTAACATCAGTAAATATTTTAGCATCAGAGATATCTTTAAAGAAAATCACAATGAACGATGTAAAATATTTACTTATTGGTAGCCTACAGTAAGATTTCAAAATGTTAATAAGATACCGTTAAAGATTTTTATAATGACAAAGATGTGTTCATGAAAATAATGCTGTAACAAAAATATTAGGCTTTTAAGACAGAAATACTAGGTAATTAGATTTATGTTTGCTTGGCATATGTCAAGCAGACAATGTATCCAGAATCAGTTTTAACATTTGAAGCATTTACATTTGTCATTCATTTGTCGTAATTTTACATTGACATTTAAAAATAAAACTACTGTAATGTAGCTCTTTGGCCAAAGGCTTCTTGCTCTATTCCAATTGTTAATATTCTACATTTATTGCTTATAATTAGATTTAACTGATGTGGGCCATTACGGGAAAATCATATTACGTTCTCATTCAGCATCACTTTTATTTTGAGATTTGTGACAGGAAGCATTGTCATTATGAAACGCAAACTAATCTTCATATTGGGAACCTAAAGTTCGAGAACGCTTCTTCTCCCTTCATTACTTAAAATTCGAGAACATGAAAATTTACGATATTTAAATTCCTATCATAATTTCATCATGTTTATGACACAATACAAGAAGCAATCTTTATGAAATTTTCTTTTCATACAGAAAACGCTTTTATAGTATTATCCTGACATGGGCATAGATTACGTCCATAACTGCAGTACACAGGTTTATCAATAATTTTAATGCCAAAATATTGTTAAGATTTAGGGTAAATTTACGTCAGTGTGATAGGGAAACAGTTAACAGATTTTCGGCAAACAGCTTTACTAAAAAGATATTAAAGTTTTATGACATTCACTTCACACGTTAGAAAAATATTATTTCGTCCATCTTGTAGTACCATGGCAATATTGAATAACCTTAAAGACTATAGACATATACAAGCAAAGCAGATTTGAAACGAATAGTGAAATAACCAATAATAATAATAATAATAATAATAATAATAATAATAATAATAATAACATTTCAGAGCTAATTCGCATTGCAATATAAAATTTTCCAACAGAAGAATCTGCGCAACATTTCTTTAAATTAAAAATGTTTTATATTTATATTTCTTTCATTTTAAACACACAATACAAAAATGAATATAAATAACACAACATTCAGAAGTTAAGTAGACGGGTAACTTTGTATTTTTCGATCCAAAGCGAAGAAAACACTTTATTTTGTAGCCGAAGAGTAAACTAAGCACGGTTGGCAATGTCCGAATTCGTCGATCATTAGCTGTCCCATTATCTAAAACATTAACTCAGGACTCACACAAACGACGACCGATACTACAGCTGGATGTATTTGAGGAATCATCTACATGAGACTTTTATCAGTAGAAGTACCTTTTTTGCTTATTCTAGGCCTATCTTTGTAATATCTTGTTGCACCCTAGACGTGTTTTTGTCTGCTTCAAAGCGAACATTAACAGTGGCATTCAAAACACGAGTTTGAACTGATAGAATTTAATTAAAATTTCATAATACAGTATAAACTGCAAATGAATTAAATCTCTAGCTTCGTATCTGTGTGTTAAAATAGTCTTTCAATATTTTAAATCATTTATCTTCAGAAGCCAAAACGAGTTTATTATGCACTGCATAACAATCTTATTCTATTCATAGGTGGTGTGGTGTATTTATGGCAAATCACACTAGGGCTATCTGCCTAAGGGGAGGGATGCCTTCGTGGAGGACTTTCTAAGGGAAACTGGCTCGTATACACGTTACACATGGGGAAAACCACGAAAACACCCATGCAGCCAGCCCGTTCGCGGAATTCGAACCTCGGACCGAACTACCAGTGTTCAGCGACTTTACCGCTCGGCCGCTGGCGGGCATTCTATTCATAGGAGAGGTACTTTATTATAAAGTGCAATTATTTTTTTAACTTCATTTAATTAAATATTGTTTGGATTCATTTGAGTTTTTTAAATTGTTTCCATGTAAAAAGACATATGTAGCATTTTTATGCACTGAAGGTTTACAAGATGGGCAATTTTTTATGTATGTGATCGAAAATTGTTCAAATTCAGTGTGTTTAAATGAAGCTTTACTTTGAAAAACTGTGCACACTTTTCGTGACAAAGTGTTTTCGCTTGGGTATTATCTTTCAGGCATTCCAACAAAGATTACGGTCCATAATGCATACTACAATCTGCGCATATAACATCATATTTTTATGGGTATAGCTGGGGCAGAAAATTTGAGATTTAGTTACAGATGGAAATATTCACTAACAGAAAACTTCGATTAAATGTTGCACAATTACTAATGGTTTTGTCTCTAAAGTCTTATGACGTAACAACCTTTCGACCAATATGATCTTACAAAAACCTATTTAGGAGATAATATGTCAATTGTGAGTAATTAACAAAAGGTAAAACGCTGTATGATTTAAATTGGGTAAATTTATATCGGTACTGATTTTTTTTTATTTAAGCTCCCAGATACTTTATCAATAGAATTGATTTTATGAATATTGCTGTGATCCTTTATTCATCACAGACAGGTACAGCTAAGCTCAAATTCTGTACTGAAAATATATTCCAAGATATGAAAGTAAATTCCAGATGGAAATGTATTATCTGGAAAAGGCTTAATACATGCTTGTTAAAAGAAATGCTTAAATAGTTGTTTCTGAGAAACAAAGAGACTTTCTGACAGGTTTTTCGTAGTCCTTCACTGCTCCAAAAGTATCACAAGGTCCTAATGGTGCCAATTTACGATGTGGAGATCAAGATAAAGTGAACAATGGGAAATTGGGGAAAAAGAGCTTACCAATGCCAGCAGAGCCAGCAGAGAGAGCCTGAAGGCAACGGCCACCGGTTGTGCAGCCGACAGGGATGGACGGACAGCCGGATCGTAGTTGGACATCAGGTACCGGACGAGACGATATTCCTGGTCGTCTGCAGACGTCCCTAAAGAAATCAATGATAAGCAGAATGCAGTTTTATACAATTATATATATATAGCAAAGAATGCTAATGGGACAGAAGTTTTGGTAAATATTTTAAAGATCAAGATCGATTTTACTGACAAGTACAAAATATCAGATATTGATCATATGTCATCAGCAGCACTCGTTTTTAAATGCATTGTATTTATATGATTATTCTCTGCTATGTGCCCATGATTTAAACCATATTAAAAAAGAGGGACTTATATTCCGTTAAATAAGAGGATTATTATATCGATTATTCGTAAATCTATTATTCTAAAGGTTGCGCTTCTCCTTAAATAGTTAGTTTTTTTATTTTGAATACGGCAAAGAACAGAAAGGCTGTTTGTCTTAGGGAAGAGACACCCTGTGGAGGAACTCTGTAGAGGTATTAGTTTTATTCTGAAGAAAAAGCTTGAGAAATCGCTAATGGCAGCTCCAGCCTTCGAATTCCTGATTGTTAGTCGGATATATATCCAATTACACCACAAAGGTTCATGGTAAGGAAAGAAAACCATCCTTACGGCTTTCTAAGACAGTCTGTTTCGCATTCATGTTACACATGAGGAAAAGAAAATGGAAGAGAAACAAGCGGACTGTCTGTTCCCTGGCATCGAGCGCAAGTCGAACTCCAAGTATTAAAGTTTTATCTATCTGGCCACTGGTGAAACCTTTTTAAAACGAGCTAATTATTCTGCTCAAGCCCACAAGCCACAAAACAGCAATAAAAAAGACAGAATGAAAGGGACGATTATTACTAGCTATGAAGAAAAAAGCGAAAGCAAATATTTAAGGTAGAGAATGCAAAAATTATTAGAAACTGAAAACTACGGAAAAAATGTCATTGATTAAAACTGATCATTTTGGATGAACATGGTCATTGAACATTGTTAACGTTTATCAATTATTAACTCAAGCATTTTATGTTTGGAATTTCAAATTATCTCCTTCAGCTCTAAATAATTCTGCTTCACATTATTATCAGATATAAGTACTAGTGAAAGCGAAAATCTCCTTCTAATTACTCAACAGCATTTTATAGTTATTAGTGCGAAACTAAGGTAGAAATTTCCAAGCATTAAATACACGAAAGCAGTTATTTGCTTTCGTTAACAATATTATTTGCTACAGGAATGCCAAAATGGAATGATACTAGAATAAAGATAAGCAATGTATTGTTATTTTCATAATTTAGACTAAGAAGTTAACAATAAGGCCCACTAGGCTAAAAATGCAACATTCAATTTCTTTTTTATTTTGATATTTATCATAAAACAAATTATTTCGTTGGAGTTTAGCTTTTCAATTTGCTTATTCTTAGAAAGGTAGCTGTTAGAATAGGTAGCTGTTAGAACGGTAGCTGTTAGAATGGCATCGTCTCACTGAACAGTCCTCTCCCCCAGCTCCTGTTACTCGTTGAATGCCATAGTAATCTTAGGCTAATTGGCAATTTGCCATTAAAAGTGAGTCATATGTGTACCTACTAGCCCTAAGATGGTGAAGATGATATAAAATTCAGTTATAAATATCGAAATTAGCCTATTAAATATTTATAGAAAAACGAGAGATTCAACTGGGAAATTGTTCTTAAATTCCGCTATATGTTACCGCACAAAGGCTTTATTTTAAATTCAGAAATACACATGGAAAGAAAAATAGGCAGTTATCAAAGTGTTAGAAACATTTATCAATAGCAATGATTTTATGACTATGTTTCACACCCCTTTCTAATTATTTACTAATAGGCTCATAATGTACTAGTGGATTCGTGAAACAAGTTTTTATCTCTGGAGAAAATCATACCAATGTCTAAAAAATAATACTCAGTATACTTTTAATCTTATTCATTTAAATTACATGATAACACAAACTTATGTCGATATAGAAAGTAAATAGACATTTATCTTGGATAAATAGACATTTATCTTGGAAAAAATAATTCAAATGCAGATCAAACATAAGCGATTCATAATTGAAAATTTTACTCTGATAATCCAGTTTTCAAAAACAATCAACATTAGTTTTAGAAAAACACAAGAAAAATGATATCTTTATTTAAGAGAGATTAAGTTTAAAAACTATCAATTATGTTAGTAAATTTGGTTTTCTATGTAAAAATTTTCCTTACTGTCATTTTTAAAACTCGAAAATTATACCTAGAACTTTTCACCTGTCCTTATCGCGGTACACGTAAAACCTTTGGCGGCTAACGGCTGCCTGTTAATTCTGATATTTTTAAACGATATGGGTATTATAACTAAAAAATTAATCTTGGTACATTTTCTAAATTCTTCTTAAATATATCAAACAAAAGGTTTAGACTATCAATTGAAATGTAATTTCTGCTGATTCTCTGATTAAAGAGTATTGCAAAAGTTTACAATCCCAATGACTTTGTTTTACCTTCAAAGTTTATTTTGGTATCTTATTTAACATAAACTGAGAAAGCTCTGTTTCTACTTCAGAACTCTTGTTAGATCACTTTCTTTCTTAAATTCATTTAAATTTTCTTTTTATTCATACTAAATATTTCAGCTCCTTTTTTGTCGCTATTTATTGTAAGGAATTTCGTACACTCCGCTACTTTTCTTTCGGATCGGTCTATATTGTCAATATCACTTCTAAATATGTGCTACCCAAACGAGATGGTGGCTAGTAACTCTGATTAACGTACCGAAATGCATGGGATTCAATCTCGGGAAGGCATGTATATTTGTAAATGCATAGTGGCTTTGCGTTATGGTGACACTTTAAATGCATTACAAGCCGAAAGTCCTCTCGAGTGAATTGGTGGCAGAAGTGTAGATCAAAATTGTCGTGGAATTGGGCAAAATCGTACTGTCACCTACATGGTGCCCAAGGCTCTTGCCAACGATAGGCGTAATCTTGCGATCCTTGCCGCAATAAATTTTGTGCTCTTATTCTGATGTCATACAAGCGAGTTAGCCACAAAAACAATTATGTTAAACCATTGTACACTTTTCCTATGTAAACTTTTATATTTTTGGAGCATTAGAAAGCTTGAGAGATAATCTATTTTACCGTGAAAAGCTTTATGGTTAAATTTTCATTTTTAGTTCAAAGAAGCTTTTTCACTGAAGAACTATTGTTTTCGTTTTGCGATTTTGCGTTGAATCACTATAAATGTCCGTTTCATTTTTCAAACCGTTGCCACAAAATGTTAGAGTCCTGCATTATGTTTGAAGAAATTGAATAACTAAAAATCTGCATAAATGTATGAATATTTCTCGCATTGTGGTAAAACAACGGTACATAGAGCTGTCGAAGTTTCAATGACGTAATCATACTGAGAATATAGGCATGTGGAAGCCTAAATTTGAAATTGGAAATTCGTTTTATTATCGATTTCATAATTTGTAAAACTTTAACGAATTTTTGAGTAACAAACTCACGATTTAAAAGCGAGCAATGGCAACACTCTACGGTGGGGGGGAGGGAAAACCTTTTTTATCTACAGTGCACGGAACTGTGTATCGTAATTCTAAAGATATGCTCATTTTAAAATTGTTTGGGACATTGCTATTGAACTGAATTTGATGGTTTAAGTGCAAAGAACGTAATACTTAATAAATAAAGGTAACACACAAAACGTTAAAAAAAAGGTCCCTTCGGACGTAATTTAAAATGTGAAACCTTTCAGATTTTTTTGTGAACTTGCGCATTAAAAGTATTAAAGAAAGAAGTTTGCTGAGATTTAAATTTCAAAGTTACCCATTTTCTATGCTATAGCCTCTGTGAAATGCTATTACTCAAATTACTGTTTTCAAATGATTGCATAAATCCGAACTCATGAGATGGAAACACTATCCAAATAAGCCAAAACTATTTGAGAATGAAACAAATTATGCAATGGAAACATTTTAATGTATAAATTATGCAACAAAATGAAAAGTAGGGCTGAAGTAAAACATTTGTTGCTCTTCTTTTAGTCTTTTTTTTTCTGAAAAATTATTTGCGTTTGAGTAGAGAAAAATAAATATTATGTAATATTTTAGAAGTATTTCCATACTGTGTGACTTACTCAATTTCAATTCATTTTTCATTTTTCAATTTTAAGTCAAAATAAATAACTTCTACTATGTTTGTTTTCCGAAAACTTGCAGTTTGACTGAAATTTCTTCGTCTAATGTAATCTTGCTTTGGATCGGGGTGGCTGTCTGTATAAAAGATATAAAGGCTACTTTTTTATGTGACCATGGCCATTACAACACGTTGTAGCAGTAGTGAGCATGGTGTGTGATAGATTCCTTATTCTTCTGCGTATTGAAATCAAAGCAAAGCCGCCAATGACAGGAAAATACAATTGTTAATAAATAAAATAGTAAATACGCATTAAAAGATACTAAATATGAGAGCAAATATTTCTTTTCTGACTTGATTTAATAAGCAAGATTATCCTCACAAAATACTGGCAGAAGAAGCTATTTGACATTTTCACCTTTTCATCTAGTTGGTTTGCAGGGCCAACCGCCTAGCAATAATTCCATCTGGAGTTTTCAAAGTATAAACAATCAGCTTACTGTTGAATAAATAGGTGCCTAAAAAGAGAGAAGGAATCCTTGCCAAGAAACAATCATAAAAATAGTGCTGCTAAGCAACCTACCTGGAGCCTGGATAGAAGAAAAAAGAATAGAACACAGAGATATCCATCTCTGCTAATTGGGAAACGGTATGAAAGCGAGATCATAATAAGTTTTTGATGATGAAGGATAAGAAGGTGGAGAATGTCATATTTATAAAATAAGTGAATAAAAGCAATTTTTTATGTGACACTGTAATTCAACGGATAGAGATATATTTGACTAATGTACGTATGAAACATTTCCATAGTCATGATTGTTCATATTTCGCTCAGAATACGACTGAAAAAAATCTCAGTTTCCGGAGAGAGAGATGCAAATAATGTTAAGCCGTAAGGATCGTGCATTTGTTTTCTGAATTATAACAACGCGGTTCTTC